TAAAAAGAAGGTCACTGCTAGGACTCTAGGGGCCACTAAAAGAAAAGCCTAATGTGGTCTTAGGCACCACATGTAGATGGAAAAGCTCACAGAAGGTGTGGTTAGACCTACCCAGTTATTGCAGCAGATAAGCTTGTATATGGAAGGTTATTGTGCATTTTATGACTGAAGCATGAAACTTTCTCCTCTGCTTCTATAAACCATGAAGTTTATTTTAAGATGTGGAGGCATTCCAGATGTGACCCCTGGGACAGGGCAGAGCCCCCTGGAGTAATGAGTGTGACCCAGACCCAACTAGCATGCTAGCTTCTGATTAGAATGTTCGCTAATGTGCTAGCTAGTCATGTGACTTCATAGAACACACAGCAGAAGTTTTCAGTGTTTTTAACGAGCTATAGCTACCTCAACACCTGGAAATGAAGGGGCCCGCAGTCCCCTGGCAAATATGGTGGTCTAAGCAAAATTATGTTACATGACCATAGCAGCAAATAAGCATCTTTTTTTGAACAAAAATGCCATTTTGGCAAAGATATACATGATTATTACAGAGTGATGGGGCAAAAACTGGAAAAATGCAGTGCTTATATACAAAGCGCCTCCATGTCTGAATTAAAACCTTGGGGTATGTAGATTGTATGCTGAAACTTTCACGCTTTAGTCATAAAATGCATAATTGGTTTGCCCATCTGGCCCACTAAGTCATTGAACCGAGACCAAGAAATGGACAAAGCAGGGAGACTCAGAAGCAGCTCAGATTTTACAGTATATCGCTTTATTTTGCGTTCTCAACATTGTCACAGTACTAGTTTTACATCAATAGGGTTTTGTCTACTTAGAAACAGAATGCATAATAAAATAAGAGCACTCCTCCCTTCCCTTTGACTTCAAAAGTGGGCTGTGAGTGTGAGAGAACAGGAGTGTCCCAGGACATAAGTCAGAAGCGGTGTTAACTGTGTAACAGTTGGCTGTTCATCTCTAGATCCTATGATAATTCAGTCCTGACGGAGGCAGAGAGAAGCAGTTTGATGATTATGTAAATATCAGAGGGGAGCAGGAATGCACCTTCAATGTAACTGCAGACACTGAGTAGTAGTAGTAGTAGTAGTAATAATAATAATAATAATTTACAGAGTATTTACATATGTTTTCTCATTCTTTACTTCCCACCCACCCTTAAAACATTTCCTCCCTTTCAAACCCTCTTTACTTCATCAAGTAACATTAGATTTCCCAAGATGGATTTGCTATTTACACTCAGCAGTATACTGCAATGTCTTTATATTGTACAGTGAAAATAGAGGTGAAATGCATGCCGGAGTCGAATGACACAACTTTAAATGAAGACACACACTAGCAGGCCAGAAATCATCTAAATGTAAACAAGCATCAGTCAGAGAAATCAAAACTACACTGAAAGTTTAGGTTCAGGTCGAGCCTGCTGCTCAACAGAACGACAGTTACAGAAAAGAAAAAGAGAAAAAAAAGAAAAGGAAAAGAGACGGTAGGCATCAATGGCATGCGACAAAGCACCTCACACAGAATCTGGACAGGTTTGACAATAGATCAGTCTTCTGAGGGAAGAGGGGTGTGACTGAAAACACTTTGATTAGACGTTTTTTATCGAACTATCGATATCAAATAAAAGCTACGTTTCTTCTCAGCTGGTGTCCGCACCATTGTTCCATGATGACTAGATGGTAATCAGCTGCTGGTCTGATGACAGAATTACTGATTGGTCAAACGTGGGGTTGTGGTGGGTCGGTTTAATTTGGTCTCCAATTTATTTGGTATAAAACTGATTTTAAAATTTAATGACCAAGCAATATTGGCACTTTCCTGACTCCGTAGGTCATAAACTACACTGAATTAAAATCATGTACAAGCAGCATATCTGACAGATCAAGAGTCAAATATATCAGACTGTAGAGTGACCTACAGCACATAAAGTACTGCAAAAAACATTTTGGATCATGAGATATTTCGAAAATGGTTCCACTTTCTAATTAGACACCATTCATAAATTATTTACAGGTGGTTTCATTAATGGCAATTAAATACCGATGCTTTGTAGATTAGTAATAAGCGATTGATAAGGACAACATCTGCATTGCCAGGTTGTGAAAGGTTATCCTCCTCCAGCAAGGTTTTGCACAAAGATCTCAAAGTGTCTCTGTTTAATTTAGTTAGTGGAGGACGGCCTAAGCAACAGCTGATGTCAGTAAATATATTTACTGTGAGACTTGAGGGAAACCCGGGCCAGCATGACATGTGCTTGATGTTTTTTAGTTAGTTTAGCTCTTTAGTTCATCATGAAGACTGACCACTTAAAGCTGCCCCATCTTATCTTTACATTCAGTATTTGTGTGTGCTTGTGTGCATTCTCTTCCTCATCAAATATTTACAAAGCTGACTTTGTGGCATATTTTACATTGTGCAACGTTTACATTCATGTTTGCTTATTCGTCTTCTTCGCTGCCTTTGCCTTTGCTTTGCTCCATCTGCCAACTGTCGATCAGCGGACCAGTGTGCGACTGGGAAAACAGGAATGTGAATTACATCCTCCATGTGCTCGAGAGCACGTATGTGTTTTCTTGTGTGCGTGCACAATAGAAACAAAACAGGGAGCCACTCGTGTGAACGTTGCTCCACAGTGCTACTAGAGGTCAAAAACTCCACAGGGTTCCCTTTAACTTCTTGATCTAAGATCTATATAACAATATCTTATTAACATTTACAACTGCAGACTGGATGGATTATTGGAAACTAAAACATTTATAACTGTAGATGATTTCATAACATTTGCTGGAGGATAAACACCAGGCTAGGGGACGTTTTCAGAACTTGGTAACCCATATGTTCTTGTCAATGGCTTCTTATGGATGTATAAAGCATCAGGATTTATTAACCATTCATAAAGTTAACAGTTAATTAACTTAATTGATTCATTAGATTAGTAGAGAGTATTAGATTACCCATTATAAAGGAGGCATTATTAGAAGGTGGTGCCTTGAAAACTTGAACCTTGAGGAAAGAAGTATTTCTATTTAAGAATACTGATCTACTGGATATCACTTAACAACAGTAATGTGTGAGCCATTGACAGAGACAGATGATAAATATGAAGTCATTCATTATACTCAAAGCTGTCTGTCAATTAGCACTTTGATTTCCAGATGACAAGAGTATATACTTCCTCATGCCAGCTGTAAAAAACTTTTTTTTTTTTGTTGGCCTCTTACAGCTGTGATACAGATGTGGCAGCTTTAACTGCTGCTGTTCACCAAGATCCATTAAACTACGGTATGTGGATCAGGAGAAGATACAGATTTGGTTATCGTCTAGAGTGACACAGATACATAGCGGACTTCAGTTAGATGTAATTGAAGAAGTCAAAAATATTCTACCATTCATTTTGAACAACTGTGGACTGTAACTCTGATATAGTTTGGGAATACACAATGGTTATAAAATAGCCTGAAAATACATTGTTACATGCAACTATTTTCTTTGACATTCTTCTTCTCTGACATTCTATCAGTATGGAAAGTCCAGTCGAAATCAATGTGGATACTTGCACTTCAGTGATACATCGAGGAAGAAATGACAAAGGACTCTGGAGGGAAAAAAAAGACAAACTCAACAGAACTAAAGAAAATGGAACAACCACTAATTTGCAATTGCTCTTAGACAAAAAAGTAAATACATATTGCACAAGTTAAAAATTCCATCTCAGTCTTTAAGCAGATGCAGACTAACTTCTGCCTTTGATATCAACTAAGTAAAACAAGTGCTGTGTCTATCACTTCCAACAGAACATGTGCTCCGGCACACCAGCCCTCTGCCTCCGCTCTGCACACACACACACACAACAGATACTGTGCTCAGGATGGCCGGAAGGTACAACCAGCACATCCCATAATATGTCAGAACAACGATTGATATAAAACTGCCATTTGTGGTGAGTGAAGCGTAAGAATGCTATCACCATCACATAGTGATAATTATTGATTTCTGTACTGTGGCATCTGTGTGGCTCCGAGAAAATGTCCGATGGAGGGAGTGAACAGCGCTGCTCGACGCACTCGCTGCGCGACAGACACACAATGAACCTAAGGAGGGAACAGGGCACACTCAGCCAGCTGAGAGCTTCCGTATCAGGAGAGACACTTGGACAGTCATGTTGCTGTTTCCCTGCTACACAGTTTGCACAGACTCCTTCAGTTCCTATGAAAAACATTGTGAACCTCCTCCTCCTCCTCCTCCTCTTCCTGCAAAACAGACTGAAGGAATCCCACCAGGGTGCAGTAGAACATATAGGGCATTTCTTAGTGTTTATTGGACTCTAAAAAAATAGTTAAAAAAAAAAAAAGACTGTGGACAAGCAGCCACTCTTGAAGGGTGGACATTCAGATGAATCTGTCTGCTCAGCAGCTCGCTGTGGCTTCCTTTCTCCAGAGCGAGAGAGATGAGTCTGAACCGATGAAGTGCAGTGGATGAGACTGTGTGCACGCTGGTTGTGCACCAGCCCTCGTCAATCTTAACAGAGTTCTAACTCAAAGGCAACCATTTACAGTAGTGTTCCAGCTTACTGAATTACCTAACTAATAAAAGCTTTGATTGGTTTCTTAACAGTGAAACTACGCCACCTATGTGCGAGTATAATACTGAGAGTTTTAATTGATGTTTAATTGTTCTGTAATAATAATAATTATAATAACAGCTGATATTATTATTTTACAAAATACTATGCACAATATACATAAAGCGATTTTTGTGACTAAATTAGTAAATGCTTCAATAATTGGCACATTTATCACTGCTAACAGAGATATCACAGTGCACTGTGAGCTACTGCTACATTAAATACTCCTACAGCTACTGCTGAGGCAGACCACCTGTCTGTCTGTCTGTCTGTCTGTCTGTCCGTCCGTCTGTCTCTGTTCAGCCAAAACACTCTCACACTAGATTAAATCACTTTGTAGACATTGAAGTTTAGATTACTGTTTACTTCTTCTGTAAAATACTAGTAAGTGAGATATTTGATCATGTTCTTTAATTTACTGAGGAGGAACAGTAGTTGTGGTCTTTGTGCATGCTCTCGCGTTGTCGTCTGCTGCTCATGAAGCAGGCAGACATGATTTATGACCTGAAACCAAAATGAAAGGAACAACAGGAAAATAAATGTGTTTGGGTTGAATAGACTGCCCCCGTGACGAGCATAACAAAAAATGCTGAAGGAGACACAGGATCTCGTCTGGTTTCACATCCCCAGACCGGTGACGCACAGTGTGACCGTCTCATCAGCCGAGAGCCTCGGAGGAAAAAAATCAAAGTTCAGCAGGAGAGCCCAGAAAGGCCCCTGTGCCGCCTCACACCACCGTACTGATGCCACTGTGCTTGGGCTTGGTGCTGCTGGAGGCCTGGGAGGGTGGTGGTGGCGGGCCATGGTGGTGTGAGCCATGAGGAGGGTGGGAGGAGTGGCTCCCGTGGCCGTGCTGCGTGTGCGGTGGGTAGGGCGGCTGCTGGCCGTGAGATGAGGCCGGGTGGAACTGGTGTGGAGGGTGCTGCAAGTGGGCCGGCGGGTGGTAGTGGTGGTGGTGGTGGTAAGGCGGGGGGTTCTGGGTCATGTGGCAGAACTGGGCGTGGTGTGGGTGCATGGGGCCCGGCGTGTCCGTCTCGACCCGGGCCGTGTGGTGCAGATTGGCGGGGTGCGGGGTGTGGGAGATGAGGGTGGGGTGCAGGGCCTGAGGGGTGGGGCTGGGGGACTTCACACGCCTGGTGCCAAACAAAGATCCGAGCAGAGAGGAGGAGTTGGGCAGGGACTGGCCGCTGTGGCGGGACGGGCAGTCTCGGCTGGAGGGGGTTCTCCGCCGCATGTGAGGACTGCTAATGATGGACCCCTGAAAGAGAGAGGACAGTCAGAACACAACAGCAGAGAGTCCACTCCTGCTATCCAGTGGGAAACAGCAGAAAAAGTCGAAATATACTTACTGCAGATTCTAATTTCTGCAGTTTTATGCCGACTGAAAACATATTTGTGGAAGTGGAAACACAGCAGAACTACCTGCATGACCAGCTACAGCTGATCTCAAATCTCATGTGATTGCTTGTCTTGCCTCGTGGAAAAGCGTCTCCATTTCCTTTTGCCGCTCACTGCCTTTGTTTGTCTATCCATGCTAACATCTCACGCTCGACTCTCTTTTAACGGTTCGGAGGCTTTGCTTGCTGAGCTGGTGAGAGTCGGCGTATCTGCTCTGTCATGAACAGACAGCTTCTAAGTCTTTAGACGCGCTTTGCCTGCTGATATTGTTGTGAATTCCTGTCACTATTATATCTGGTTTCCAAGGTTACAGTATCCTATTTAATATTCACATGCCCCCAGTTTGGATCCTTTAAATAAAAATGTGACACAGCAGACTGTATACAGTACACACATTTGCGTGCATTACCATCCTGAGCTGTCATGTTTAGGTTCACTGTAAGTGCACTACTGACTTAATTGACACGTGCTGATGTTTCTAAATCCCTGCTCAGCAAGACAAACAAAAAAAATCTTCACAGGATTTTTTTTTTTTTCTGAGGACCCAAAGCACAGAAACACAGTTTAACAAGATAAATACAGAACAATTAAAAAAAAGGGTTTATGTTAAAGAAATCAAGCAAATATTTCAGAGCCATGCACTTCATGCAAACTGAACTATTCATCAAAAATATCCACAGTCTTGAATTATGATGCGTTCACATGTTTCCATAAATCATTCATTCAAATCTTTGACCATAGTGATAGGGCAGTGTGACCTGTTCACTGACTCTTACATAAAGTCCAGAACATTTGTTCTATAATCCACCCGGACATATATTTCATTATATGATATCTTCATCTTCATGGAACTTTTCACAGCACTAGCAGTGTGCTAAAGTTCTTGTAGTGCTAGCATCCTGAGTGCTAACAACTAGAAACCCAAAACAATATGGAGTGTGTGTGAGTCCTGTTGAGTCACATCATATATCCTGATCACTGATCACTCCACCAGTCTCTAAGCCAAACGATACAGGGACCAGGGCCTAGTTCTTCATGTGCCTAACTGATTCAGGCTAACATGTTAGTCAGCTAACAGGTAGCTTAATTAAACTCTGATATTTATTGAGGATTATTCAGTAACCTACAGTGCCAGCTATGTCAGGAAATTAAGATTAGATGAATACATTTTTTTTTTTATATTTCCATTTTGAGCAGGAACTAATGAGCTTCAGGCTGAGTACCACAGACAGTGTGGAAAATACTGACAGATAGACTAACACATTATTGGTCTTTTTGTGGGTTTTGTTGACAGGAAGAAATATATAAAAAAGTGACAGCCTTATCCTTTAAAGGTCCCATTTTACACTTGATCCATAAGAAAAATATATTTGTTTATTTAAGAACCAAAAAAACATCTCAATATAGTTTTACATCTCCTCGCGCTTCTTTATGAAGCTCTAGCAAGAACAAGGTGTTTTGTTTCGGTCTCTGAGCCGCCCACCTGATTGACTGACTGTTTTCTGAGTGACCAGGTCCTGGTCAGTCAGCGCTGAAAAGAGCCAGATGGTCAAATTTGGTCTCGCTGTGCAGTAATATTTTGGCTTCCTGACAGTGTTTTCCTCTGATTTTATGTCTTGTAGTTTGCTTGCTCAGTGATGCAATGACCTTTTGGTGTTGTGTCATTAATGGTTAAAACAGCACCAATAAAAAAAGGTTGGACAGTAAGTCTGTGTGGACCTTGCTGGGGACATGGCTGAGGACGATGACCGTATGGTTGTGACATCAAAAGTTAAGGGACTCCTGACAGGCACATTTTTGGATACAGACTGTGTGCATTTCCAAAAAGACATGGAAATATCACTTTCTATAATATGGAGCCTTTAAGGTCCTGTTGTGACAACAGCTTCACATTCAAACTAGCATTGAAAATTTAGACTTGTGTCAAATTATCAACAATCAAATCAAGCTAAGTCAGTTAGCCACATACAAATGGCCCTGGTCACACATATTGTCTGGCTTGTCTGGCTCAGATTCTTTCACTGCAGTACACTGATGTCTAAGTGCGACAAGGTCAGGGGTCAATAAAAGGAAGCAGTGCGAGTCAGTCACTTCAAACTGTGAGCATGCAGGAGCTGGAACTAAAGCACAGCCAGGTTAACTTTGAATGAACACAAAGGAGACAAAACTCAGAAAATGGCTAAAAATCTAACCCAATGAACAAGAGAGGGTGACTCAAAGGTGAGGGTCTAACATCAACATGGAGCAGCGCGTATGTGAGTCAAGACTATTGTTAGTCATGCCATGCTGTGTCAGCCCGGTGCATGCATGGTGTCCAAGGTGCTCACAACAAAAACACCAAAGCAGAGAAGAAAACTCAAAAGTACAGAGAAACAATAACACAGAGACTTGTGTGTTCAGGATGAACAACATAAAGTCAGAGGACAGCTCGACATCAGTTGCGTCCTACTTACTTCCATATTGCTGTCTAGTGATCCTGCACTGCTGCGTCTCCCACGCTTGCCTGCCCAGAACATGTAACATGACAGATTAGACACGCCTGGTAAACACGTGAAGGTGCACACATCCCCGTGTCTAGTATGGGAGGACACTAGTTCTCTAAGGTGACGAAGATGGCACATGACTAACTAGCAGCAGACTGTCAGACTGGCAGAGGGAGGTGAGTAAGGACTAAAGAAAGGGGAAGAAGCGAGTCACTGCTACAACTCCACAACAAGCTCAGCCTCTGGGAAACTCTAGCTAATCTCTTTAGGTGTCTACACAGCGACTTCAGGCACAGCTGGCAGGACACCATCCCATTAGTAAAAGACTTGCAATCTCGCGGCTCCAGTCCACATGTCAAAGTGTTCTTGGGCAAGATACTGGACCCCAAATTTCCCCCTATGGCTGAGTGTGTATATCAGTGGGTGAATGTGGCGCTTTGAGTGGTTGATAAGACTATAAGAGCGTTATATACAGTAAGTGCAGTCCACTGACCATTTGCCATATCCTGAATTTTGGTCCAGAGTCTCACTCCAAAAACACTGGATCCTACATTTCCCACAATGCAACCAACAGCATTTTTCATGTGATTTTTATTTTGGTTGGTAACTGACCACATCTTTCAAACTCCACGCCTCCAGTTTCTAATGGAAGCCTTGTGTTAAAAATTTGTAGTCTCTAAAACCAAGGTGAGATTACGCTGATGACATCACTATGACATCAACAGGGTTATTTTCTTCAACTTGACAGGGCTAATCAAGAGCCACAGAAGGCACAGTTAGCCTTAAAAGGCAGAGGAAGATGTATCAATACCAGTCACGTTTACACACACCAAAGCCAACTGCAAACCTTGTCAATTTCATTTCAGGGACGCTGTGATCCTTAAACAACTCTGAAAGAAAACACAGGCCTGAAACATACGGTACTGATCGTGCTCTATAAAAGCCACCGCTAAAATACATGGATCCAGAACAACCGTCTTCATTTCATTCTGTGATGCTGCTTCACTAGTCTAAACCCAGTGGTGAGGTCACTGAGTGTGTTTGTGCACTGTGGAGGCGACTCTCTGCACCCTGTCTGAATCAACTGCACAACATTAATTCCTCTTACCGCTAAGACGCTCAAATTGATTGCAGTGACCTACATAGCACTGTCTCCTCCCCTGCTGGTGACACAGGATTATTAGTGGATAGCCTCTAGTAAATTACACCTTGGTCCATTAGCAAACACACCCGTCACTATCTCCCTTGCTTCACCGTCGGCCTCACTCAGAGACTCTGCTTTGGCAGGACAGTTGCCGTGGATACCACCTGAATCAAACCTGTGCGGCAACAGGAACACGACCTCTTCTGACTTTCCAGAACAATTAACATCCAAAGAGATGTGAGTAGTGTCATGCCAGCATTCAGCTCGGGTATACACTGTACTTTGTCTAGCGCAGGGATGAGACGTTACATAGAGTGTTACCATGGCAACCCCCCCCCTTTTTACCTGCATCTGAGAGGTCACGTAGAGAGCTGCTCAGGGCGCTCCTCTTCAAACCTTCACCAATCGCGTAGCTGTCGTCAAGGCTCGCTCGGCTCAGGTTGCCGTTTCCCGTGTCCTTCTTTAACCCAGAACTCTGGGACATGCTGGGCCTCACCACCCCCTTCTGTTTTTCAAGCTCCGCTGTGGAGGGAAACATAAGCAAAGCTGACTCCATTTGTCCACATATGATATTTTTTACCAAGGTGAATGAGTCAGATTGGATTGAACAATGCCAAATGTCCTTGTAAAAAGGAAACTCTTGCTCACACTCTATCCGATACTTCTCCATCTCTTGGACTTCAGCGATTGATTCTCGCAGATCATCTGTGAACTTTTTGCGGTCCTGAGGATTGGGTGCATTAAAGTTGATGAGGACTTTGATGTCAGCTCCTGGAATGGCCGAAGTCAGACGGACTCCATTGGGATAATCTAAAGAGTGAAGATATCAACACTTTAAACCCCTGTCCAGACAAAACACACAGAGCACAAAACTAGGGGCTTTTAATAACTGACAGAAGTAATGCCACCATGAGGGTGAAATCAGACAAGCACGCCCACCTAATGCAGCGACTGGCTCGGTGCGCAAGATACCATGCTTGTATGAAAGTGTATGCTGTTATTCCCGTACGTAAAATTCACTGTGTGCTGTGCCTCTCTATGACAGCAGCCTTTCTGCCCTGCGTGAGTGTGACCCTTAAAACAGGCATTTCCTCACTCAGACGACACAGACCAGTTCATCTGAAGCAATGACATAACGAAAAGGAGACGTGAAAATTTTTTTTTTCTTAACTGAAATAAAGATACAAACAAGGCTTTATAAAGAAACTATAACGAATTGAAACTGTATTGTGTGTTTACATAACTAACTAAAATGAACAAAAATTGTGTAGAAAACATCTTTAATGTTGGTCTTTGTCAGTTTATTTCATACATAAACTTATAGTACTTTGTGTGAATATGAAATCACTGTATTAACGATGTCAAGTATTTTATTGTTAATTAACTGCAGTGATGAGCCACACAGCTGCAGCACCTACGACTGGAGCTGGACAGTCCAACTAACGTTGAGTTGGTTTATTTAAATGAATCAAACCTCCTGCATTTGGTTGGGTTGTTGAGTCTCATGTTTTTTTCTCAGATTGACTCGACCTGCCTCTCACCTCAGAAGCACAACGACACACATTTTGCACTTCAGGCTTCATATTGTGTTGATTGTTTACATATTGTGCCCATATCTTCATTTTAGATTCTGTTGTTGTTGTGTCCAGTTGAATTTTTTTTGGTTAATGTCAGTGAGAAGTCAATACATTTCTAAAATGGTTTGATGATTAGTTGAGTTTTAAACACATTACTTTTTCTGACCTTTCTGAATCATATATTACATATACAATATTATATGTTATATTACATCTTACAAACACTGAAGCTAATAAAAACTAAACTCAAACTAAAAACTAAACAAGCAAACGTGCTTTAAAAACGAATTAAAACTAAACTGAAATTGAGAACAAAATAAAAACTGTTATAACCTTGATTTGAAGCATAAACAAACAATCTCCATGTTACTTACACTGATTCTCAAAGAGCAGCACTTGCATGCCATAAAGTGAGAAGGACTGCCGAAAGCTGTACGTCACTGAGTTCTTCTTCTTCTGGAAAATTTTGGTAACCTATGAAAGAAGCAGAACATATAATGTCATTTGGACTCTCTGAGAGTAATGCGTTCTCAGTGCGCTGGAAGAATAACGCCTGCCGTACCACAAGCAGGTCATTAAAGAGGAAGATCTCCCTTTGGTGCAGACCCAGCTTTTGTGGTTTGTTGGGGTCGGGCACTTCAAAAAGTCTGCAGTAACACACCAGCCTCCGGTGGGGCAGCGATAGAACCTGCACACACAAAAAACACCATCAGTGTTTCTGAGCTGGTCTCTTGGTGCCTCGCAGACGGCTTTCAAGGTACTGACGAGCAAAAATATAACACTTTCTAAAATCCACAGTCGTTACATCTGTTTCATGAAGCCTCTGGGTGTTTTACAAATAATTCCTCTCAACCCTGAGATGTAGATGAAAGAAAGAGTAATACTTACACAGCCCAGACCGTGGTGTAAAGAGCCGATCTACGGAGTGAGCGATACATACAAGAGTCATTTTACAGGGATCAGTGAACACGTACGGGAACTTTCACATTCCCGATACACCAAAGAGAAGACATTCCACTTAATGTTCAACAATAAATACAGGAAATACATTTAAAATCTTTCCTTTTAATATGTTGTGTCTCCAGTTTGTGTCAACCTAAATGATCATGATAACGTCAAGGTTCCTTGGACTTCTGCTGATTTGTGTCACTAAAGTGAAGGTAATTTGATGAAGAGGTCATCCAATTCCAATTGAACACCTTCCTGATTGTTGTTAATCTTGTTTATTATTACAGAGCTTGTCAGGGAGAACTTTTCTTGGCTGGCACTCAGGGCAAAAGACATATTACAGTCATTCAGCATGAAGGTCTCCGGCCCTGAAGAATTGACGTGTCACACAGTGGAGAAAGCAGGTTCAGATAAAGAATGCGCTTTCATTTCTTTTCCTCTTCAGAGGAGGTTGGCTGTGGGTAAGCTCACGCTCTCTGCGGCAGATTAGAGGTACATTGGGTAATTTGGTTCTGCATGCTCTCTGCTAGATTCAGGTCTTGAAGAGAGGGCAAGATAAAAGTAGTCACACTCTACATGCAGGAGCCCAAGGGCAAACTCAAGCTTACCGGCTTTTTTCCAACAATGAGTTTTTCCACTTTCTGAACCTGGGACACATGGTCTTCATTAGTCTTGAGCTCCCGCTTGCGAATCCGCTCATATATCCCTACCAGCATCTCCCGGGGGATGTCCTCCCCATCATCCACTCCTGAGGATGAGAGGGAAAAAAGAGAGAGAGAGAGAGAGGGAGGAAAAAAAAGAGAAGGATTAATGATTAACTCAGATTTATGAGAGTTGATGAACGACTGAATTTACTTATACACTGCAGTGCATATTTCTCGCAGTGAGGACACAAACGTCCTTCAGAGCTCGCTGAGGGTGAGTTCTCCTCCACTCAATACTGTACTTTAATTACTGACACTCCAATAGGCAGAGAGACGAGTTAGCCATGCCACAAAGCCCCTCTTAATTCCCTCAAAATCTGTTGAGGGCAACTAAAAAGTGCTTTGCCTCAACAGCAAAGCATTCTTGACCATGACTTATAAAAAAAATTAAAAAAAAGTTTATGCCATAAATATTAATGAAAGCGAAATGCATGTACAAAACTCAATTTGAGGTAAATCTTTATCCTTGATGCCTCGCAGTAATGTCTCAGGAGAATATTGGTTTTGTGACAGGGAGGGTAGAACAAACTACCTCGAAGGTTCTTCACAAAGTCCTCCAGCTTCATCTTCCTCTCAGGCTTGACGTTGGGGCTGTACATGTCTGTGTTGAGGAGGATGATGGCAAAGGCCAGGATGAAGATGGTGTCAGGGTTCCTGAACTGCCGCACCACACCGGGGTTGCAGATGCAGTAGCGTTGGCTGCGAAGAGAATATTGGACACAGAAAACTGAAATGAAGATTTCCCCCTTCAAGGCAGAATGAAGCAGTTAAGCTTCCTGTTTAGTGATTGGTTCCGCTTGTGGGCAGCGGTATCAATGCCGATATTGATATTGAGCTCTCCCCCTGTCTGTGCTGTGGTCATATATAGTTAAATAATGCTTCATAGCCTCAAGTCAGAAGAACAATGCGCCAGTGCTAGTGATTGAAGACTGTCAATAGAGCCTGCAGCCATCAGACAGGCCATTTAACAACTTTCTGAGTCGCCATAAAGTGAGCTCGTGATCATATCCGCGCTGTGCTGTAGGCGAGTGCCAGATGATCAGTTATCATCATCTCCTCAGTGTAGCAGTGACTGTGGTGTTTACTGAGGCCACAGTGTCCTTGCTCAGTGCTGATTGAAGCTGATTCTCCGTGGCTACGAGATCACCTTTCTACCAGAGGTGTGCAGGAAATAAACGAAGAACAAACAACATCAACATCAGCATCATCCTCAACTTTTTTGAACCAATTTTCTCTAAATCATTTTCAGCAATGATCTGGGCGAACAAAGCCTGGATTTAAAATGGCTTTGCACTGCTCCACTGATCTCTGCCTGCCAGTGTTTCAGTAAGACGGTGACTTCTTGGTGTCACCTCTGTTTTAGAGGATAATGGTGTTTTTGAAGCTGTGCGAGACTAGCTTGTGCCATCCATTAATCATACACGCTGTGCTGGTGTAAAGACTACACATGGCAATGAACCCTGTAATGATCATCCCGTCACATAATCAGTGGGTCTAAGTTGATGTAAGAGCCTATTTGTAGAAACATCGCTTTATTCCTCCTTGATGTAGACTTGGGTTGATCCAGTCACTGATTCTAAGCTTGTCTGAGAGCCGAAAGCCGTGACACGTGTCGCGCCCGCAGCTTTCTCACCTGTAGGCCTCGATCAGCCGCTCAACCTTCTGTGCTTCTCCCTGGACTCTGATGTGAGCCTGGAATTTCCTGAGCGCTTCGTCCAGCTCCATACTGGAGAAGTCCATTTCATCCACCACACAGCTGGTGAGAAACACACAGTCAGCAGCAGGAAGACCATTAGTTTGGATAGCAACATATGGAACACTGTGTCTAATATAAATATAATGAATATCAAAAACTCCTAAAGTCTGTGAAAAAAAAAAAAAAGAGTTTCTTCATGGTAAAATAGGAAAGCCATTTGGTGATGAGTTTTATGACAACCAATCTAAATTAAAGGATTAGAAACGCATGTATTGGCTTCATTACAGTAATAAGCCACTAGATATTTAAAGTGTCCCATACAGAAATGTAATATATGACATATATGTCCCTATATTAGGAGCGCTGTTGCCGTATACGTCAACTATAAGGGGATACATTATCATCACATATATACAACTTCTGGATATATTAAGATAAAAGTTTATGACAAAATGAAATACCCATTGTAAAATTTGTATATTTACATATATTAAGAATATCTATATAATGTATTTTTATACGGTACAACCATATTGATTAATGATATATATTTAATTTATATATGCAAGTTTATTAAAACAACAAGATTCCATATGTTGATACTGTATATGTTTTTCTTGTTTACTTTTTAAACTCATATTAAAGATACATGACTATCTTTTATATTTACATATATAATATCAGAGAGTTATATGATTCACTCCTCTGCTCAGTGTGTGTCAGTTCAGCTCACCTGCAGAGCTGCTGCCATATTAAACTCCATAATCAGCCTGAATGTGTCTAATGTTTCAACCTGAAGGACTCACACTATTGTCTTTGTTGATCATGTGTGATGTGAAAACATCAGATTTCCACACCATCACAGGAAATACAAGTTCTGGGAACTATTTTTTTTGGCCACTTGCAGAACTCCTCAACAACTATAAAGTACGCTCAGATGATTTATTCATGATCACCTTATAAAGTTGTTATGGCTAACAAGTTGGCTAACAGATGCTTATTTACTCATCCAGTACACGGGGCGCAACATTAGCATTCATTTGGAGTGGTGTTTATGGTAATTGTAATATATGTATGGTATGATAATCACTGTCCTTTTAGCTCTGTTTTGGTGTCAATCAACTGTGGAGGGAAATATGTTTTGTATGTATTTTCATTGACTAGTCACTAACTTTATCTGGCTGCTGTTTGGTGCAGGGCAGGTATCGTGCACTGAATGTTTAAGATGCTGGAAACAAAAATGCTGAGTGGTGAGGCCGAACCAAACAGTTAAACAACAGGCTCTAAAACCAAAACAATGAGCTGAAAGATGCTAAAAAAAAGCTCCACAGAGCTGAGGAGAACTGCAGAGCTGGATGACTGACTGATGACTAATTTGATCCACTGTTCATATACAATTATTGATTTGTTCAGCTTTAATGTAAAACTACTTACTTGAAATAGGTTCTTTTTTGCTCGGAGCATATATAATTGCTGAGGTGAGGATTGTGACTTGGCTCTCCAGAGCCCTCATACCTTGCATGCCAGGATTTATAGACGTTTTCTCAAGGAGCTCTTTAGATATGCCTGTCAAACAGACACTGACGGATCTCTCTTGGCTTTATCCTCTCCTGAATCTCAATGGGACCTGATAGAGCCGCTGTGCTTTTAAGTGTGACTCAGATAAGTCTGTCCAGTCTAAAGCATAAAATCGAGCCACTATTTGAATAATGCAAAGAGTCACTACTGGAAAACACAAGATCTTTATGACATCCCCTCCTTATTAAGAGGACTGCAGAATATAAATGGAATCTGTAAGTTTATCTGAGCATCACAGCAACTTCCTGAGTGGATTCTATTTCAGTTTATTTCCTGGATGCAACTTGAGTCATTATGTTGCACTCAGAAACTCCAAAGACAGTTTGAATGATAGTAGATTGCACACTGGCAACCTTCTTTGCAACTAAATGATGACTTATAGTTAAGTTCCTGGGAGGCACATAAAACAAGATTCTGTGCTCTGGCATAGGTGGTGGGATAAATCAAAAGTTTGTTTAGAGAATCTGGATGTTTTCATCTGCACCTCTCTCTGATCTGATCCGCACATACAAACACGTCAAAGAGCGCACAAACATGAACCGCTTTCAGACTCACTCGAGGACATCCCGGTTGAACTGTTTCTGTCTGTTACCCAGGAACTCGCCAATCATCTGCCTACTCAAGCCCTTCCTCTGAAGCAGGAAGTGGGCCACACCCACTGGAGTGTCTGGAACAAAGTTGCGCTCGATCAGATACTGGATGCCTTTTTCTGGTTTCCTGGAGACACGGGAGAGGTTAGAGAGAGAGAGAGAGAGAGAGAGAGAGAGAGGGATAGAGAGAAAGAGAGACAAAAAGGGAAAGAGTGAGGACACAGTCCAAATCTATGATTATCCTACTGCACTCCTGCCCCGGGCCAAATGTGTGTCAGATGAGGGACAGGATTTAGGGGAGGCAGGGAGGGGGGGTGGTGGAATGAAATAAGGCTGAGAGTGGGGAGGAGGAGGAGGAGGAAGAGGAGGATGGAGCTACTTTTCTCTCTGGTGTTGATCACAAATGATTAAAAGAAACTTAATGGCCGGCTCTGAAAGAAACCAAATCCACAATCATCTATGATTAAACATAATCACACAGGCTCAGATGAAGATGAAGTGGGGCAGAATGAGTCCCGGGCTCATTTGCACCTTAAGTAGAACAGGCCGATAAGTTGTGTTTCAATCAACATCACAGCATCAGCATATCTATCATACAGAAGAGTTTCATGTTCTTCAACGGAAAACATTCTCTCAGCCACAAGTAATGGACTGGATCTAATTTACATAACCTCTTCCATCCCTCATTAGATATGTGATGTGTGACTGTGCAATTCAGAGGCTAAAAAGTGCAAGCGATGTGTCAGATAGTGTCTGGCTCTATGTGCGCAGTTTGTTAATGATCTTGTGTAGTGGTGCGCATACTTGTTAAAGAGGTTCAGGCCGATGCGGTAGTGTCTCTTGCGGATGATGTCATTGCTGAAAGCAGGTGAGTCCCAGCTGTTGCGAGTCTCTTTGTGGTACGTCTGCTTGCTGAGCGTCTGCTCCCTCAGACTGTCTCTGGACGAGGACTCGGAGCTGCAGTTGATGGTGTCGTTGGAGTTGGATGTGCTGTTGATGCTGTCGTTGTCGCCGTCTGAGAAGTCCGACTCCGACTTGCTTTGCCGGTTTGCTGTGCCGTTGATGGCCAGGTGGGCCTCCAGTTGCCGTGGCCGATGACGGGGAGCGTCGTCCTCTCTGGAAGGCCCGCGGGGTGGCAAACCGTGGCTGATGTGTTTGGGGCTGCTCTGCTGGTTGCTGAGGCTCCGTTCGTAGGCGTTCTGTCTCTTCAGAGAGCTGCGGTCAGAGCGGTCGCTCAGCTCCACTGAGCTGTCGCTGGGAGGCTCAATGGTCAGTAAGGGTAGGTGGTCTACCCGCAAACGTTGCTCTTGGCATTCCAGAGAAGGTGTGCTGCGACAGCTGGTGTCCGTGTCTCCTTTCTCATCCTTATGAGCCAGAGACCAATAGTCCTGGGAGGAGTTGAGGGAGCGCTGACGCAAGTCCGATTCTGTGCTGGAGGGCCTGTCTACCGACTGAGACAAGGGCAGGGGTGGTGACAGTTCCTCTTCATCAATGTAAAGAGTGACATCACTGTAAGATGCCGTCATCTCATCCAGTTTGCGGTGTTCTGAGGCGCTGTGGGAGGGTTTCACCTGGCAGCTGACCTCCCTGTCCATATCCTGGTGGCCTCTCCCCGTGTCCGAGTGGCCGTCGTCACCGTGCAGACTGCGGCAGTTCAGAGCGTCATCTATGGACTCAGCTAGAGATTTGACCTGCCTGGAGAAGGCGTCTTCTAGTTCTGTGATAGCGTCTGTGAAGTCGCTCTGCGTCGTGGGGGTCTTGGCCTGCACACCCATCTCCCCACCATGTTCGGACTGCACCAGTGCGCCGATTTTGGTGCCGTCGTCTGTTAGTGAGACCTGCTTTCCCTCGAAGTAGGAGCTGTGGACTTTTTCAGGTCCTTCAAAGGAAAACTGCATTCTCATATTGGATAGGACAATCCGTCTGGACATACGGTTCTCAGACATAGAGCTTCTAAGACGCTCAAAGTTCTTGTTCATCTGATACTGGCGGAAGGCTGTCTGGATGGTGCGGGCTGCATGCCGGGTTATGAAACGCCCACCATATTTACGCTCTAGCATCTCCACCTGCAGACAGAGAAGGACAGATTGTGTCATAAATCCCCCTGAGAAACAACTGGGAACAGTCTAAACAGTATGTGTTCTTATTATCACTATAAGTGAAAACAGGGATGAGGAACACATTATTATGACAGGTACTGTATTTTGGATTTTATAGAACCCGAGTAATTCTTTGGATAATTCTAGTATGAAAAGCTAACACTCCTGTCGACTTTACAAGTGCGTGTTAAAATGTATTTGTTCATTGTTGACATTGGAAATAGAAGTTTAACAAAACAATTTAAATTCAAAGTCCATTTACTATCTTTTGCTGGAGCTTACAAACACAACTCAGTCTTCGAGATGACTCAGCTGTCATCATGTGACATGTGAAGCAAAAAGGGGTTTTTAGCTGCTGACAGATTATTTGGTTAGTACTTCATTTGAAGCATACTGAAGGCCCAATGTCACTAAATGACAACTGAGCCACCTTTAAAGGTCCCATATTTTACACTTCTGTGTTTTATTTCAAGTGTTGATCCATAAGAAGATATTTCTGGTTTTAAGCACCACAAGCTCTATTAACAACAGGTCGGTGTTTTCTGAGTGAGCTTATAAAAATATAGCAGATTTTAGGTAAACACTCAGAAAAACCAAATCCTTGTGACATCACAAAGTTCCGGAAGTCCTGACAGCTTGTTTTAATGCTCAGTTTCTGAATACAGTCTGAATACTTTCACTGTATTAATATAGAACCTAGACCTGCTTTATAATCAAACAACACATGGACATCTGCCTTTAGACTATATGGGAAATTTCAGAGAACTCAGCCAACTCTATCCTCTAATGAAGACCATGAGATGCAGTCGAAAGCTCTGAAAAAAGCCCACTAATGTCGTCCAGACCTAGACCCAGACAGATTATTTTGTCAGACAAGTTGTTTAATGTTTGCTGTTTGCTTTGATTCATTTCAGTTATAGTACAATGGTTTCCCATGGCAACCTGTTTTGATATAGAGACTTCATTCATTCTCAGATCACTCCTGCAGCACAACACACTTCACTGGCTTCATCAATATGTGTATATTCCAAGCAATTACACTTTGGCAAAATAGGGGACTTCTAGCTGAGCGCTGGAGCTGATCCCGTCAGGGCGGCAGGATGAAGAGTATCTGACTGTAACTGTGATTTCATTACAACCCCTGCTACATAAACTGATCAGAGCAGGGAAACTTCAACTGTTTTATAGCTTTTATAGAAGGTAGATTTTGTGTGTATGAGTATGAAATAAAAAAAAAAAACCTCAGTCTAGAAATGACTGGAAAAAGCCTATTTTCACCTGGCTACTAAAGTAAGACTATTACCTAGGGAACACGGACTGGACAGAATGAAGAATAGTGCCGCCGTCTTATCTGCTTTTGTCACAGCTTAAAAAACTCAAGAGGAGTGAAGGTGGCATTTAAAAATGGAAGAAATTTAAGGCTTATTAGACTCAAACAGACCCCCAGGGAAGATGGATAATGTTGAACTGTGATGGGAACCCAGTTTGACTGATAAATGGGTAATGGCCTAAATAATGATGAAGAAATGCTCTTGAAAGAACTACCAAATACAGGATTTATGAGACAGATATGATTATAGCTGGGCTCTGCAGTGCTGTTAGACATTAATTAATCAAGAAAAGACTTACTAGAAAAAAATGGATTAAAATATAAACTTATTAATAATGGGTGTTACAGTGTTTAAATATATTTTATTAGAAGAAGAGCAAAAATTACCACACCAAGGAATCAGTCAGGATTATAAACTGAAATGACTTAGAAACAGATCATTACACTGAAGTTATACACCTATAATTAGCGTCCAGGGCTATATCACGTTAGCCTCCTCTCTCAGTCCTGTACCTTTTACACACTGACCCACCTTTCCCACATCTGGACTCATGGTGTAAAATGACACTAGTCATGTCTCTCTGCTCCATGTGAAGGCCAAGGGGGACTCAAACCATGACAGTGAGTCTCACTACAAGAGGCTACAACTGTCACTGCTCAACAAGAGGACCAGTGTCCTTCCCACACAGACACAGCTATATGGCCATGAGGCCAAACCAGACCACTATTATCTGACTCGTATTTGACTGTCATGAGGAGATTCAGCCTGACAACAGCTTGTAGTAACAGATAGTAACCTTTAGATAATATTATATGTGTAAATAGGATGAAGACGTAATTGATTACATTGGTAACTCATTATCATATTTCTAATGAATAATTCAGAAGGGTATTTTGTTACATTTTGAGCAGCATTATCTGACAGTTACTGCATTGTCATTGACCTTGCACTAGAGCTCTTCATTGCACTGCTTCAGGTTTCAGTTCTGTGTGTTGATTTGTGTGTGTGTGATACCCGAATGGTTTCAACTGTTTGGTGCATGATGATCTTCATAGAGCAACAATGATGTTTTTGGTTTCAGATAACTGTGAAATGAAACGTACTGCTCCTTTTTTTAAACTCTGGCCTTTCCAGTAATTGGAGGAGAATCTTTCCCTGTTAGAGTCTGTTTGACCTGACCACATCATGGATCAGGGCTTATCAGCCTCAGGTGTATTTGGACCATGGGTTCATTTTGGATCAGGTCCAAAATATTGGACCTGGGAAGATCTGTACTCTGTAGCTCCTCTGAAAAAAACATTTTACTGGTAAAGAAGATAAAAAAAAACAAGTTGTTTAATGAAACTTAAACTGAGGTCAGATTTGTTTCAGTTCAGGCAACCTCACCCATTTGAGCTGATAGCTGATAGCTGGATAAGTAGCTGTAGGCACATATAAAAAAAAAAAAGCAACTGATGTTATCATGAACATTCAAAAAGAAAGAGGGCTGTGCACCAAAGGACCATGTTACCTCTCAGAAAATAAGAAAGACAGTGTTATAAGCACAGGTTAGAACCATGTTAGTGACCAAACATGCGTGGCTTCTTTGGCTGTTTTCTTCTTGCCTCTTGTTCACAGGCGCCGAACACACTCCAGCTGATGTTTGATTTATTTTCAACACTGATCTATCTCCACCCTTTATCCAATAGATTATAAGCACTTAACTGCAGAATGTTGGCTAGATTTGTGAGGACATGCTTACTGATACCACACCACACGGTTCTCACGACTACCTTGTAGTAAATACCTGATTCAAACATACTGTTTTAATCATACTGTATATTAGATATTCTCTTCAGTGGATTTATGGCACTTCAGCTGAATAGTGTGAAAATGTTCTGCACAGTTTGCAACATTTCACCTCAGCACATGATGCAGTTGAACACTGTCTGTTTGTATTGTGATATCCTGGTGTGGGTGCCACCTCTTAGATCTAGTTGTTGTTGAGTTTTGTGGTTTTTTTTTTTTATCACTGCAAGTGTGACACATGTTTGCTGTTTTAAAAATGTGACTCCCTAACCAGTTAGAACTAGTTAGTAGAACATAAACAATACAATACAGTACAGAGAATTAAACCATGTCCGCTAAAGTCTAAAGAAGATCTCCCATATGGCCAGGGGGGTGTATAACATAGATAGTCTGACATTATTTTTAATCAACTTTCATTGGTGTTTTATTGTAATGATATAGTGTGTTATCAATTTATAAAATTCAGTTAAAATCAAAGCTGTGCAGAGTATGTTTTATAGTTGTTAAAGCTAACGTGTTAGCACCTAATTACACATCCAGAAGACACAGTGATACTAGCATTCATCCAGAGTTAAACTCAACAAAATTCACCAGTGAATCAAAACAGTCACGTTTTTGCCAAAACAGCCAAAACAATAAGCTAAAAGGTGCTAAAATGCACAAGAGGCTTCACACCTATCACTCAGCCCTACATTAGGTGTTCACAAATGAAGTTGTCCCAGTGTTTGTGTATCTCGCCCCCTCTCACCTGTTTGTCCTGGAGGTCTGATGAGAGCTCATAGCTCTCTGACAGCGAGCGGGAGCGCTTGATTGCCTCTTCCTCTGCCTGCTTGCGGAGGATGGACTGGGAGTGCTGGAGCTTGGGTCGGCGGGGCCGCAGGTGGCCCGGCAGCAGGATGTGTCCGTAGAGCTGGCTGTCCAGGTGGTCGGGGCCGAGCCCGCCACTGTGGGTCACTGGGACGCAACTGTAGCCACCGCTGGGGTCCACAGAGGCGCCCACCTCGCTGCCTGGAGCATCACCTTCCACACTGTAACACACAGAGACACACAGCAGCACACTGGGTTAGTCTGCTGAGTCATTTTCCTGAGGGCTTTGTGTTTCAGCATGAAGCACGTGACAGATGGAAACAGTGAACTTTGATACTGCTGGCAGGGTATAAATATGAGTGAGAGAATTTATAGCAGCAGTCTGAGCGCTGCCGGTTGTCTTTTACACATACACGCAGAAAATAGCTCAAATCACCCCGAGCAGCTTAAGACTGAAAACTGTATCTTGATTAGAAGAAATTAAATGACTATGAATACATTATGAATACCAAAGAAGCACATAAAGCTCAACAGACACTGAAATCAACTGCGTCTTAATCAGCAGCTCATTCTTTCAGCAAAAACAAAGCAGCACAATGTCAAGTGTGATTAAAGAATGTGAAGCGGCGCCTTGAATATTAAGATCAATAAAGATCTTTGTGTACTCACAGGAGCACAAACACAGACCTGGACAGATGATTGGATAAACCCTGGCGGCGTTGAGCACCGCGTGCCACGCCAGACTGCAGCGGCTAAATGTCAACCGCAGATCTATTCACTTCCTCCACACCTCTTACACTGCTGTGATTAGCTGAGAGGGCTAAGGTGCACTGTGCTGCGGTACCTGGAGACATCTCACTAACTGCTACTGTGAGGAATCAAAGCAGTTTTTACTGGAAGTAAAGACAGAAACCTGATCTGACTGCTTTTCTAATGTGTGAAATAACAAGCCGTCGCTCTCCAGAGACACACGCCTTGATTGGGAGAAGTTAAGACTTTTTCAGATCTGGGTGCCAATATAAGAAGATTAAAATGAATGTTATACTGTATATAGAAATTTCAAATGAATGCAGAAGCCAGCTCAGCAAAGAGGAACTGCTGACATGAGAACAAGGAAGGAATCTGAATATATCCTGAACCAAAGTGAATACATATTGGTATAAGTGTTAATGATGTATTAAAGTGCTCAGATTTCTTCTAAACATATCAACACACACTCAAAACAGACGGTATGGATGTTACAGATGCAACTCTGCAGATGAGATGAGAGATTATGGCAGAATCCCTGCCATTAATCATCATCAGTTAACTTATCATTATTATTATTATTATACACTTGCATTAAGCTGGAAAACTCAGAAGACTCACATCAAACAGAATAATCAAAACTGAAACAGCAGACCCCAAGACGCAAGTAGTTTGTGATTGTCATCTCTAAGCCTGAGCCCAGAACCCCCCCCCACACACACACATGCAGACGCGCACACACACACACACACACACACACACACACACACACACACAGACACACACAGACACACACACACACACACACACACACGCACAGACACACACACACACACACACACACGCACAGAAGATGTTTCGCAACTGTTTTCACAGGCTGAGTAGTACTCCTGTGTAAAATCAGTGGAGTGCGGCTTTAAATACCTTTTTCATCACATTGATTGATATAAAAAAATCCAACACTGCAGTAAAGCAGTCCTGCTCGTTGATTTGCAGCATTGGCCATAATGGCCTATAGATGTGTCTTAAAGTTGTAGCTACGAGTATGGCAAAATCCTGACAGCTGACAAATTCATCATCTTATGGTTTATTTACCTAGTAATACAGTAGAATAAACAGTCCCAGTTATGGCAGCATCTCTGTCGTCCACTGTCGTCAAGGTTCGGCTGGTCAAGTCACATCAAGTCAACTTTATCTCAAGAGCACATTTAAACACAGCTTGAAATCAACAAATGCCAAAATATCCAGAAGTAAAACATCTGTCACTGTGCACGAGAACTGAATATTTGCATTTATTTACAATGCCACAGTGAATTCATGTTACAGGGTGGAAGCCTATTGTTGTCTACGTAACACCTGACCTTGTATCAACAGCACGGTCGATCAGTCTGAGAGAGAAAAATGTCTCCACTTCACCAAACAAAAGCAGGAGTGAGGCGATACCTTTTGTTTTTATGTAGTTCCGGACCCAGACTGACAGCTGACTTCCTGAACTACATGTTGCCAGTTAAAAACTATGGTGAAAATTTTAGCTTTTCTACCTTAAAGCAACTTTTTTTTTTTTTTTTTTGCAAAGTCAGATCAATATTATTTAATTTTGTTTGTCAAAAGCTGATGGATGAAGTGGAACGGCTCAGAGCAAGGACATCTATCTAGAGACATCTATCACTATCTAACCTTGTCAAATAACTGCACCTCTGTGGGAGAATGTGTCAAGGTTAGATAATAAAGGCTGAAATAAATCCTTTAATAGGAAAGAGATGTAATGTCCAGGAGAGGCTCAGAGCTGTAAACACATGCAAGGTGAAATGAGTAGTAAAAATGGCGCCTGTCATTATTCTGTACCAACAGACTACCAGAGGCATTTAAACCAACTTGTACATCTTTCATGCACATTGGATTTTCAGTGAGAAAATATTGATGCAAAAGCTGCATTTTATCATTTTGGCGGGATGGGAAGGATCTTATCACCTGCCTTGAATACTATCATGCCATTAAATAGCTGTAGGTCTGACCCCAATGTCTCGAAGCTTCTAAGCCTCGACTGTTGCCATGGCAGTCTACATCCTAATCAGTATTTGAATGCCGTGATTTTTTGTTTTTCAATTATAATATATGCATAACCAAAAGAACGCCAGATAGCCCATGAAGTAAGAAACAGTAATTGAACATTATTCATTAACATTAATTATTGGGACACAGGGACAGGGACACACATGACCATATGACAAGTTTACAAGTTACAAAAATGCTAGCAAGATGTTGAAAAAGTCTAACTTCCAAATTTGTGAAGATGATCCACAAAAACTTGAGTGTCAGATAAACCAGAGCAAACAGGCATAATCACAAATGTACGAGTGCGTCGAATCAACTGTAAGCAACAGCTTAGTTACGTAGCTCAGCCACCGCTGATGTTACTGTGACGTCTGAAGTCTGATTCTTGTCCTCGTCTCTCCCTGTCTCTTATCAGCTGTCATCTGGAACAGAGAGGTGGTTTATATAGGGCCCCGCTCCACCTCCACCCAGGCTCAGGAGGCTGTTATCATGTGTCGCCATGGTTATAATTATGAACGTAGAGTGACTTGGTCAGGTTACGAACAGCCGTCTCTCGCTTGAAAGTGTGTTTTGTCATCGCACCGGTCCACCCCGACCTCCTTTGCAATGCAGACTTTGTTGCTCTTTATGAAACATCACCAGCGTCGCACTCACTTCTGCTCCTGTCATAATTACTACAACCGGTGGAGGTCACCTGATGATAAAATGCAACTCCGGGTTGTAATAAGCTGCTTGGACAGACGACCTATAAGGTGGTTTTTTCAGGGGAGCATAGCGTCGACCATGTGAATCCTCTGGTAGGAGGAGTTTGCCCCTTCTGAAGCATAATTTTGTCAACTAGAGGGATGACAACTGATAACAGACATTTAATAGGTGTTAACATTCAAAGCGGTGGCGTTATCCAGATCGGTGGATCCTAATCTGGGTTTGGGGTCCTACCGAGGGGGGCATAAGATAAATATATCTCTTGAGATGATTAAAGGCACAAAGTAAAAGAAAAATATTGTTCCACTGCTCAACTTTTTGAAATATTTCAGAGGGTGGGCCAGAGGGTGTCATATGTTGTACAGACTGTAAAGTCCCATGAGACAAATGTGTGATTTTGGGCTTTAATAATAAAACTGACTTGACTGGACTTGTTAAAAACTGGGCAGTCGGAGCTCCTCACGCCTCAGCTTAAAGTGAAAGTAAAGCAGCGAGCCTGGCTCTCTCTAAAGTTCAAAAACATGTCGTTTCTCATGCGTTCAATTTGTACACGAAATGTTAATGTGCTGGAACTGTTCCTGGGTGAACAACAGCTCATTGTAGCTAAATGAATCACTACCTGACTCCAGCTCAGCAATAAACTCACAGACATGAGGCTGATACTGATCGTCCAGTAAAATAAAGTGACAAAGTTCCTATAACTTAGTAGTTTTGGAGCCAAAACCAAAAGAAACATTAACCATAATTCACAAAATGTCCTTGTCATTTGTAGCACTTCTGAAAGGCAGTGACACACATAAGCCATTAGAAACGACCTATTTTGGAAGTTTAGTTTTGACTTCCAGCCACGTCACAGCGAGGTAGGCTGAGGGTGTCATGGCAAAACAGCTCTCATAAAATGTCCTCTCTCTCCAAACTGGACACTCAATGCTCATTACAAAAACTCTTCCTGCATCTTCATGTATCCTCAACACATTTTTAATCCTAAAAGGAACAATTCTAATCAGACAGAGTCCTGTAATTAGACTGGAGGGTGGGCTGCAGTGTCTGCTTCAGCAGCGGATGTCTAATTGGAAATATCCATTTGTTTAGATGGAGGAGAGGCTTATCACTCAGCGCCAAGCCTCTAGCAACGCAGACCTAAAGTATGATAGCACTTCAGGCATGTTTATGTCCTCGCACAGCTGGTTCTGTTCAACTGAACAAGATGTTCTGCTCTTAGTTGCACTAAAAAGAAGCAAAAAAAAAACATAAGGACAAACAGCCTCGTCAAAGCAGGGACGGGCGGTGGAGGACAACCATTCATTGCAAAATATAGATGCTTTAAATTTCGATATGTATGGACCCACTCTACTTCTTGAGGAACAGAGGTGTGAGTCACTCCAGCAGTCAAAGCGTTACTGATCCAATTCCCTTAGAAAGCACAGGGGAAGAGAGAGAGAGAGAGAGAGAGAGAGAGAGAGAGATGACTTTGGTCAGGCCCGCTGACTAACCGAGAGACTTCTGCCGTCTGTGCCAAGAATTCATCCAGCCTCATTAAAATTAATATGCTTCACCTCCAAAAAAAAAAAAATCCCATTTCAAATCAGAGGCAAAATGGATAAAAGGGCAGAGGAGGAAGAATGAAAGGCTGCGGTTGTGAGAATATGTCAAGACAGAGGGAACCTCATTCTCTACCAGCGGAGAGTCGTCTTCAGATGGAGAGAGAATTGGGCTAACATCCATTGATGTAATGAAATGTCATCATAATAATAGAAGAGAAAAGGTTTGTGTTTTATCTTGACACAGTACCACAGCCGTGCACTACAAAGCCTCCCATTCAAGTCTGATGTGCAGACAGAAAACAACCTAAACTGCCTACCAGGAACTCGCATACAAGCATATACCACACACTACACGACTGCCTTCTAACAAACACAATTAGTGTCAGAAAGGTTTGTTTTAGGGATCCGCCTTTTATCTCAGTTACAGATCTAAGATAAAATATCTTGGAAACAATTTCCACTTGTAGTTTTTTTCTCAGGGTTTTCAAGGCAATGATGTGTAATACAAGAAAGATAATGGCTGCAACTCATTTGGCACTCGTTGAACTTAGCCACTTGTAGCATTAGGGTGAGAAGTTTATATAGAAGCACTCTCATTTCAGCAGTTTAACTGACTCTGAATTGACTGCAGTGGTGAAGTACTTCCCATCCTGGCTAATTAAGATCCTGTAGATTGAGTCTGAATTACATTCTGGTTGTGGTTACAGTCCCGCAGAGACGAATCCAAATCTATATTTGAGGGACTGATATTTATGTCTAAATACTATGTGTGTGTACATGTACACAAGGCATTTTCTGAAAAGAATAAAACACAAAGAATAATCTATTCCGTGCTCAATAAATGTATTAAGCGTATTCGCTACTAACCATTAAGTGGATAATAATAACCTTTCTCAGACTCACAGATTCTTGCTCACATTGCCTCTCTTTCTTTCTTAACATCTCTGACTTGTGTGCTTTGAAGTTTCATATACAGTTTCATATACAGCACGTCACACATGTAAAAACACGTACTAACACCGCTGGGGCTGTAGAGAGACAATGTGGAGACAGGAAGGACTGTGATTGGTCAGTGTGGGCTGCTTCTGCTGTTTCTGATGCCGGCGGAGACAGTTGATGATGAAGACAACATGGAGGAATCTCAATAAAAGCGTCAGTGGTCTGCTCATTTTCAGTAACACACATTAAGCAAAGGCATCTCCACTTTGATCGCCACTTGAATGAATGACCGCAAACACAGAAACAGCATGCAGTAGTCTCTTATTCTGCAATGATACACGGTGCGTAGTAATGCCAGCTACACACTGTCAGTATACGTGCAGCCCACTGTTGCTCTATACTACAGTGTGAAGTGAAACAGTTACTGTGGGGGAATATAATTAAAGCAGGACGGGATCATGTAAGACACATCTGTTTAGCGCTGCTGTGGTGCCACTGATGGGTGAAATGACACAATAAATTACAAAACAAAACCTACACTAAAGGTATCTGCGATGGGACTCCAATTAATGCCTGAAGTTTGTCTTCACACTCCTCAGCCTGACGGAGTGTTACTGTTTCAGCTAATTGGATAAACAGGGGGGGGGGCGGTTATTTTTGATTTTATCTACACCAGGGAAGTGTGTAAGCACCGGGAGACAGACTGCTGGAGACATATTCAAAAGAGAAACGGAGGTATCCTGATTTCTTTATTAAAAGATCGAGCTGCAGAAACTGTGGCTCTCTTCTGCTATCTCGACTCAACAGTGTTTTCTGCTTGACCATCCCCCTGTGTGATGAACAACCACTTCTTTCAAACTCCTCAACCCTTTTCTCAGATTCACAAGACTCCTCCGGAGCCACAGAAGAGATTATACGACTGTTTTCACAAGAATAAACTCCGCGAGACGAGTAAATTTACTTTGACTTGTAAATTCGGAGGAGTGCCCTCTAAAATTGTAACCCCTCCCTGCTATAATGAGGCGACCGTCAAACAAATGTGGTTTTAAAAACTTAAAAAACACTGTTACCAGCGAGTTTTTATAACAATTACACCCACGTAAAAGGGCGTGCACCTCACCTTCACTCATGTTAGATTACAGACACCTACTTAATTCAAAAACCCACAAAGTACCGCAGTGTCCCATGACAGTGCATAAATTGCTGGCTGATAGAATTTTAATGATGTGTTTGTAGAGGAAGGTGGTGGTGGTGGAGCCAGCGGAGGGGGCAGGTGATGTGAGGACAGCTCTGGTGTCAACACCTCCTCTGGAGATGCCCTCCCCGTGCCGCTGAGTGGCTCTCCAAGAGGAGCTTCTTCTCACTGTGTCACTCCGCGGTGATGAATTAATTACTCCGACATGCCACTCACACACACACACACACTCACAAACTCATGCACGCACGCACACGCAGCCTGCTTCGTTTGGTTGTCCTCGCTGCGCTGTGTTTTCACACTGACTGTTTCGGCATGTTTTTTTCACAAGTGAGTAACTCTTAGAATCAGCCTCAGCAGATTAAAGATGAGTTAGAAGACACTGGATGAACAACTAAAATATAACTCAGCTGTGTTCACTTCCTTGGCACACAGTAGGAAAAATCAACTACTGGCTCATCAGTGAAGCACCACCCTTTGCTGCATCACTAATGAAGCGCACTTTATTTACACAAAGTGTGCTCTTTGTGAATGTCATCAGCAGCTCTGCGCCCTGGCAATAAATCTGCTGCATTAAAGGCAATTTATCCAATAAGGAGAAACAGCAGTTTTTCTTGGACATTAGTAAATGCTTTCTCAATTGATCTCAGCTGAGTCGGGCAGCAGAGCCTGAATAAAGGAGCGAACATTAGTGAAATGTACAATCTGCTTCACGAGACTAATCCGGAGCCAAATCAGTAAGTAAGTGCATGTCAAGCAACTATTAAAAGTATCGACTTCTGCACACAGCACCAGCACGCACACACACTCAAAAGTTGAGCTTACCAGCTGTCTGATTCCAGCTCCAGTAAGGACTGAGTCCTGTCAGAGGCGCACTGCAGACACCACATGTTGCCCTCTGAGCCCCTACGCCAGACCTACATCGCCACCCCGATCTCCGTTACTCCATCCCTGGGCTAAATGAAGCTTTCATAACCGCACGGCTCGGACACCTCTATCACTCTAGTCGTCTTTCATCCTCGCAAGGAGGGGCGTTCTCAGGAAGAGGGAGGGAATTCCTGCATAGGAAACTGGGTCGTATAGCAGCAGGAGTACTGGTGTCCCACAGATCAAGAGGGTCTTAAACAGGAAGGGGCAACAAGTAAGAAGTAAAAATGGGTGAGAGAGAGGGAGAGAGAGAGCTCTGGTGGCTTTATTAATAGTAAGAGGCAAGGATGAGGCCAGGGGAAACCCCTGGATATACCATTTTAGCTGTGGTGACTGAGGAGGTGTGGCGGCAGTAATGTGAGCTTTACATCCGTACAACTGTCTTCAGATGTCAAGCCTACGCTTCATATGGAAGACATACACAGTCTCCACTTTACAACTGCTGATCAAAGTCTTACAGCCAGTGATTAAAGCGATGCCATCACGACCACGGCCCTGTCACAGACGACGCAGAACAAGCAACAGCTGTGTGGCCAGTTGACCCACGCCAAGCTATCCTTTAAACAAACATGCAAGTTAATAGGGAATGTTTGACTCACATCTCCTCCCATCTCTCTGCTGATGTTTAGGGTGATTCAATAACCCCAACAACCCACACACACACACACACACACACACACACACACACACACACACACACACACTCCTATTCCCCTGCTACAGCCCACAATGTGAAGTGATGAGGGGGCCTATCCATTCCCGCATAATGACATCATTATCCAAACAACGGGCGTGTATCAAGTGGACCGAAGATGTTATCGGCCAAGGCAACCATGCAGTGTGAAGCAGTATGATAACAGAGCTAATAGGTTTAGTTTGGGCAGAGATACGCCGCGACTGTAAGGCCATCAAGATGTCGGATTCTGCACTGTAGCCTTCAGTGAAGCTCAGACATTTACAGAGCATACGAGCCTTGAGAAAAGGAATTCTTAATGACCCTATATAATGTGGAAAATAATCCTAATTACAGTATATAATAAGTAAGAGGGGACAGGGAGTTGGTGCAGAATGCCTCTCTAATGGGCCGTTACAGATCTTAATAAACAGGAATAAAATGTCTCCCATATGGTGAAGGTTCATGTAAAGTGCATGAAGTAAAAAACCTTTTTTGAAAACAAACTATAAAATGTGGATAAAAATTCAGTGAGCCTCGGTTCAGGAGGTGCAGCTCTGTAGTCCCAGAAAATGTGATCCTGCGATCAAATCTGAGTTTATATTAAAGCAGACCCTAATTTAAACACTAAGACCAACACTATCTAAGCCAGTTGTCTCCTTTAGCATTAACCACGGCCGTGAAGCTTAACGTAAAGCTGCAGCAGTTAACACCCACTTACATGTGTTTGAGTGCAGAGAGGGACAGTTTGAGGCAGCTGCCTTTGATCAGACCTTGGGTTATTTTTGTCCTCCTCATCTCTATCTTGACAGTGAATAGCCAGACTGTACAGACAGTAGTTAGGAGAGATGTGAGGTATTTTTACCTCACGGATGAGACTGAATCTGTGCCAAATGCCCAACGGAGGGGGGACTCTCGTCAACAAGCCACGGCTTTGTGACAAACTCAAAGTTTTACGGACTGAACTGTTAAGCTGATAAACTTGACGTTGTCATATATTGGTGCCACCAAAATGGCAAAGAAAGGCAGCCAATGGAAAACCCAGCTGTAATAAGATTATAGTCATTGTATCGTTACTGTTACCTCATTAATATCAGTGTTAAGAACATGGTATGTTTATACAGACAGAATGAGCCGATTAGAAGTTGTAGTAACATTTCCAGAAGTGTTCCAGTACACAGTGGTTTACATTTAAAGAATAATAATGATAATTCACTTTCTTGTATTAGACTGACTCCACTCTCATGTGTGTGTGTTCAGCATGGAGCTGGAGCCGGGGGAAGCTGCTCTGCTCAAAGTTCAAAAATACACCAACAGGGATCATTAGTGAGCAAAAGCTTAGTAAGTAAGATGTATCAGGTTTGGTTAATCTGTACAAAGAGTATAAACAAGAATGTGTGGTTTTAGAAGGATTAGCTCTTGATGAACAACAGTTTCTCCATCTGCCTCGTACTTCTGTTGAGTGTTTCTGCTGGTTCCCTGGCGACCGTACACGCCCACAGCAAGACTCAAAACTAAAATGTCAAACTACAGTATAGAGCAGAGGTTGTCACGTGGACCCCCATGCCTCGTCAGATAAGAGAACTCCTTCACAGACACCGACAGTCAGCCATTAATCTACTACTGAACTAATTCAACTCACTTCATCCATTACTGTTAGCAAACTATTTTAACTTCTCCAGTTTTCACATACTCTAAAGATTTGGTGTTAAGTTGTTACAGATGACTTCATGTGGGTTTATATATTTTTTATGGACTGCAGAAGCACCCGCTGGGTAGAGGCACCCCCCCTGGTTGAGAATCACCGGTGTAGATTATAGAAGTTGTTTATGGTTTTTCAGATTTATAGATTTAAATTCAGAGACTATTCCACCTCTGCTGACTATGCTGCTGGTTCTCAAACACACCACTTTTCATCAGGTTTCCCTCGTGACCTTTGAGGTGCGTGTGCAGAATGACAACACCTGAAGAAACCAGACTGGACTGTGTACATGACAGGAATAACTGAAATATACTCGAGTCATATATTCTAGTATTATGACCTTAATGCAGGGAACATAGTTGAGGCGGTGTTGACAATCTCTGTTTTCAGTCTTTGCTTCTTTGCAGCAGATGGCTCTTTTAAGGGTTTGTGTTGCAGACACACCTGTCACACTCTGTCTAGACTTCCAAAGTGGAAACAACAGGATCCTTCGTCCTAGTATTAACCTCTACATCAGCTCCTGCTCCTCAGCAGGCCAGACGAGAGGTATCACAGATCTGCTCTCTAACTATATGTACCATTAAAGACCCTAATCTCCTTCTACACTCCCTTTTACTCCATCTGCAATGTCCAAATCGCTTCTCTTCCTTCAACATTCAGGCTGCAACATGCCACTCCCACAGCGGTGATGAATTTCACATAATGCATGAGACTGATTCTCATCCAGCGGGGACGAAAATAGAGCCAGTGACAGACACTGCATTTTCTGCTCTGCTTGGTAAGTAAATTGACCGGTTTGTGTGAGCGTGCCGGCTGGAGACAAATGTGTCTGCACGTCCACCTCCCCAGATGCTGCGGTCTGCAACCCAAAACAGCAGCAGCGGCAGCAGCAGCAGCGCTGATTAGAAACACGAGGAGCTCTGCTGAGATTCACCACGCAGAGGGAACAGGGAGCTCTAAAAAAATATGCAGTTACACTAAATCATTTATATGCTATTCATATAGCATTCTAAAAGCCCCGCCCCCATCCCAGCATCCACCTGAAGAAGAGCAACTGCGATATTGTGCAGCCAAACAAAGCATAGGGACATTCCACAATTTCAGTTGGAATGATTGTTTTTACATTTTAATTTTAATTTTCAGTGATAAAAATGATGATGATGGGACTTTTGTTGGGGTTTGAACCAAACAAACATGTTCCTTTAGGCCTGAAGGAGATGATTTGTAGGCTGGAGCGTCTCTGTGGCAACACAATGCTTCATTTATGTTGTGACACATTTTACCTTGATAATAAAAATTGTAGCTCCTGCGATTGGGATATTGCACTTGGCCATATTGCGATTTTGATAATATGTGCAGACTTAATTATATTATATTGTTTTAATATAGTAAACACTAAACAATGTCCTCTATTATACAGCAGTTATACTGAAGTTCTAATCGAACATTGCGAAATGCATGGATGGACCCATCTTGTCTTCTACATTACATCCAGAAAATACATGTATTGTTTTCTCAGAATCCACAAGTTGTGAATGTCCCGTGAATATGCAAATTTAAATCCTGCATAAACAATGCTAACAGCTACAGTATATAGAGAGGCATTCATTGGCTCACAGCTGAAAGGAAAAGTGACATAATGTCAAAAATGAAATCTGAAAATGGGTTGGACATCATGAAAATAATAATCCAATAAATTCATCCAAAAATCAAACAATAATCGACAAATGAAAAAAAATGAATGGGCTTACCATCACAGCCTTGTCTGCTACAAAACACATTTACATAAGACGAATCTGTAACAGCAAATATGCTCTGACAGAAATGTAATGCCACCTAAATTACGATTTTTACAATGTATCTGCAAAATTTTCACTGACAACATATTTCCTTTGTGTTCCCTACAATATCTGCCTGATATAACCAAGACCTACCTTATTCCCTAATGTTAACAAACGTCTTTTAGCAAGCTAAAGCTAACCGTACACAGTAGGATGCAGGATGCAAACACTTTATGGACTGAAAAAACAAAACATTGTTTGTGAATCTAATCCAGACAGCAATTATGTTTCCAGGGTTGAGTGTGTTTGTTGTAGCTTGAAATACGAGGTTGTATTTGACCTGATTCCTTTTACAATCAACTCCACCTTAATTAGGAGCCAGAACTACAGCTACACAAACAGGCATGCAATTAAACAACAACTCAGAGCCAGTAACAGAGTCATAAATGCTGTTTTCCATTACTCTACACCATCTTGGACTGAAGACTGTGTGCAGGGGCACACCAGCAACATGCCAGTACATTTATAACTATCTTCTGAGTAAGCATCATATCCTGTTTACAGACACTGGGGAATAAACTCATCTTGACATTACCATGAAGATCTAGACAGCCACTGCCCTCATGCTCTGGCCAGGCTCCATCTGCTTCACCCACACCCCAAATGAGTATGGCCCAGGCCTGGCCCAGCAGGCGGACTGTGTCTCTGCTATCCACTGTAAAGCTGTTCACTTCAACCCTGTAATCCCAGAACCCACCCACATGTGGCCCTCAGAGGGAGGTGGTGTCCCTGCCGTCTCAGCCTCAA